CTCCATACAATCAGTATTTTATAGATCTTCCTTTGCTCTTAGATATAATGGAGACTTGCATAAGACACAAAGAACTTGGCCTACTTCTGAGTTGACTTACTTCAACGGAACTACTCCAAATTTACAGGTTTCAGAGTGGTAGCCGTATTAGACTGTCAGCAAAAACAACAAGGAGTCCTTGTGGTACCTTAGAGACTAACACTATTTAGTTTGGGCATAAGCTTAAGTGGGCTCTAACCCACAAAAGCTTATGCCCAAATAAATGTGTTAGTCTCTAAGGTACCACAAGGACTCCTTGTTGTTTTTGCTGACAGTCTAATACGGCTACCACTCTGAAACCTGTAAATTTGGAGTAGTTCCGTTGAAGTAAGTCAACTCAGAAGTAGGCCAAGTTCTTTGTGTCTTATGCAAGTCTCCATTATATCTAAGAGCAAAGGAAGATCTATAAAATACTGTTTGTATGGATAAGGCATTAGCTGCTGTATAGAGCAAATACATATAGGACTAGATTCAGAAAGAAACTTAGGCATGATGATGCCTAAATTGTAAGTACCTGCAAAATCACTGGGATTCATCAAGCCTAAGTTAGGCGCCTAGGGCTCCTTATACAATGAATGGGGAGATGTCTACATCTCCAAATAGGATGCACAAAAGCCAGCACGCTGGGTAACAACCTGCCTAAGCTAGCCAATGGGAGGTGCCAATGTGAAGGTTGTGTTCTAAGCCCTACCCCCTGGCAGTTTGGAGCCCAAGTCCAGGTGGAAGGAAAGCGCTTCCCTCTGTTTGGGATTCTCAGCTGCAAACTCTTTTCGGGGTTAGATGCATATGCTGCTTTTACAAGAAGCTAGGGGAGAACAACAACTTCCCTCATAACCTTTAGCCCAGTGGTTAGGGCTCTCACTTGGGATGTGGGAGATGCCCCAGCTCAAGTTCCTCTTCCATTGGAGATGGGATTTGAACAGGGAGTTGCAGTCTCTGAAGGGAATGCCCTATCCACTGGGTTATGGGATAATCTGGTGTAAGGCTCTGCCGGTCACTTCCGTTGAAGTTGTTCCACAATTGATAAATAATTAAAAAAAAAAAAAAAGTACATTGGAGCAGGGAGCTGGATTCTGGATCTCCCATTTCCCTGGTGAGTGCTCTAACTACAAAGCTAGGGAGTCATCCTCATGCTTGTTCTCTTTCTCTCTCTGGCCCAATGAGTTTTTCATTATTTTATGCACAGTGGAACAGTTTCAACAGGAGAGATTGAGGGAGCACATCATCAGAATATCCCATTGCCCACTGGTTAGGACATTCACCTGAGAGGTGGGAGATACCTGTTCAAATCTCTTCTTCCGCTCAGGAGGATGGGCTACATGAACTGGGGGTCTCACTCATCCTAGGTGAGTACTCTAACCACTGGGTTAAAACTTAAGAAGGAGTTGGTCCTCTTCCCCTGTCATGTAGTGAAAGTAGTTTTTTTGTTTTGTTTTTGATTTCTGTAAGGTTCTGCTGTTACTGGGGTTTTGGTGTGGTAATGTTAGCAGACCTGCCTGGCAATGGTGAATGTTGTACTTTTCTAACACATGTTTATACATTTTTTATTTAATCAAGAAAGTTTGTTTCTGTTACTGCTTCACATCATACAATGTATATTCAAAATAATAAGGTGAACACATGAGCAGGGACAATTAGGAATTAGTATGCACAGACTTTCCCTCAATATAGTTATCTATATTAGTTCAAACTTCAATCACTTTTTTACATCAAGCTATACAGTCTTAGATTAAATCTCAGGTAAAACTTCCTAACTGTAAGAACAGTAGGACAATGGAACAGACTGCCTAGGGAGGTTGTGGAAGCTTCTTTCCCTGAAGTTTTTAAAAAGGAGGCTGGATAGCCATTTGTCTTGGGTGGTTTAGACAACAAATCCTGCAGTTTGGCAGGGGGTTAGACTAGATGACCCTTGTGGTCCCTTTCTAACCCTATGATTCTATACTGTGAATAATATCCCTCCCCCATTTTATAAGTGGTCATGTCATTCATAAGTACATTGTATTGGTACTAAAATTCCACACCTCTCCCCAAACACCCTACCTGCCCCCATACCTCACCCCCCAGCACATTCATAAAGGTACTATTCCCTCTCTTCCATTGGGCCATACAAGTCCACAATGTGGGAACACAAAGCATCTCTGACCTCTGTGGCCTGGATGCATCCAGCTCCAGATGTGGTAGGTGCACTTTCTGGCTGAATGTACTGATTCAGTGGCCCCTCATTGTCATAGTTCTGTTCAGAGGGAGATGGCTCGCCTCTGGCTTCACAAAGATTGTGAGGAGCACAGCAAGCCACGGTAATGTGGACAGCGTCGATGACACTGGCATCCAAATGGTTCTATAAACGTCTCCAATGGGATTCAATCTCCCAAAAGCACATTGAACAACCATTCTGCACCTGCTGAGTGTGTAATTAAATCCTCTTTTGCCAGGGCCTCTGAAATCAGGGTATGGATTCATAAGCCTAGTAAAAAAGGAGGTATGCAGGGTCCCCCGGAATAACAGTGGGGACAGTAACTCCATTTATGACAATGTCACTTGGTGGGAATTCTCTCACCCTGTCCGTGAGTGTAGACTTGTGATCAGTGGAAAACCTGGGCATCATGACTTTTCCAGTGCAACCCACATTGATGTTCATAAATTGCCCTCTGTGGTTCACAAGAACCTACATAACAATGGAGTTAGTACCCTTTGCAGCTTTCTGTCTTGTACCAGCTTTACAGCTATGTTCATTTTTTAACCTTTTAGTTCTGTGTCTATCGAACACCTCCTCGGTCTTCCTCTATTTCTAGTTCCTTGCATTCTGGTATGTATCATCATGAACGATCTCCAGTCTTCTTCCTTGAATTGTTATTCCCCACAGCCAGGTCATATCTGCAGTCAATATATTTCGTTTATCTGCTTTCTGACTTGTTCAGCAGTATTGGCACAACAGTTGTCTCATATATGCTTCATGATTCTTGAAATGTCTTCAGACTTTCAGATCTTCCAGAATTTTCCAAATGCAGTAGTGGCTAGTCCAATTTTTCTTTATATGTCATCTTGACAGTTCCCATTATCTGTGCTGATCTTCAATCCAAATTTTTTGCCTTTTGCCTACCTTGTGAGTTATTCTCTGTAAATCCTTGTAGATGTATACACCTCTCTGTGGCATCCCATCCTTGTCTCGGGCAGCTTAGCAGTATCTGCTCTTTGTTTTCCTATTCCTTAGGGGTCTTTGTCATATGACCAAGACTGGAGTCATGTAATACACCCATTCTCTGAGCTATGTTGTTAGCATGTAATAACTAAAACAGTCTCTTCCCAATCTCTCAGTGGGTCACAGTTTTTCTTTTCTGTGGTCTGGGTGCTTTGCTGTTTCAACTCTTGACTTCCTCCTCCCAGCCTCCTATTGGACAAACTTAGAATTTCTGTCTCCCACGTGGCAAACAGTCTCCCTCTCCCCCCGTCACCTTTGGTCTGACTTCCATTGTCCACAACCAAACAAACCTCAGCCTCCCTGGCTACTTTTCCAGCTTTTTTCCCTATAGAGCAATGAGGTTTCCCAGGACCCTTTTCCTGGGGTTGCAGCCTTTCTGACTTTGACGGGTCCAGAAAGGTGTACCAGCCTGTTTCTCTTAGGAGCCCAGACCCAACTCAACCAGCTCTCCTGGCCCTCATTGCTCTCTCTGAGTTTTCAACACTACTTGTATTTTCCTTTTTGATTTCCTCCCCATAGCTGCGTTTATTGTTGTTATAATTAAATTTCCCTTTTTAGGAGGAATTCAGTCCCTTACAAAGCCCAGGCATAGGCAGCTGGTGAAAATATTGTTTGGGAGGTGGACGAGAGAGCAGGCCCTACTCTGCCCTGCACTCACCCTACAGTGGTGGCTCTGTCTTGGGGGACTGAGACAATCACCTCCGTATCTCCCCCTTCTTATGAGACTCTCCTCCCTCTTGCCCTCTCAGTCACCTCAGGATCCACCTCCTTCCCCCAGAACTCTTGCCCCCTTCCAGCAAACCTTCATGGAAGCAC